AGGTGCAGAGAACTATACAGTCATGTGCCGTATAACCACCATGATCCACATATTCAATGGTGGTCCCATAAGATTACACAATGGGAAAAATTCCCACCACTTAGTGACATCATAGCTGGTGTAAAAGGTCACAGTGCAACACATTCCTCATGTGTTTGCGGCGATGCTGGTGGAAACAAACCTACTGCGCTAATTGTATAAAAGTATTGCAGGTACAGTTATGTATGGTATGTAATTCTTGATAATGATAATAATGACTGTGTTACTGGCTTATGTATTTACTATAGTTCTTAACATTATTTTAGAGTGTACTCATACACCTCATGTTTACCATGTCTCTTGATTGCATTATTTTCTCCTGTGACTGATTCAATCTGCATTGTTTTGTACAGTGACATGCTGTACAGGCCTGTAGCCTGGGAGCAATAGGTTATACTATACGGTGTGTGTGGTGGGCTAGACCATCTAGGTGTGTGTACGTGCACTTTGCAATGTTGGCACAACAATGAAATCACCTAACGATGCGTTTCTCGGAATGTATTCCCTATTGTTAAGTGGCACATGGCTATGATGGGCTGTTTTTATTACTCAAAATAATGCGTTGCTTATTATGTGCCCGGGGCTGAATATTATATAATTTGTTGAAGAATAAAGGTCCTCTGCCCCCTTTCCTGCTTTCATAATCAGCTCTGAGTCATGAGACCTGTGTGAGGTGCCAGGGACCCAGTGATGAATCGGACATAGTCATATAATCTCTGCCTTCAGGAAGCTCCCACTCACGTGGGGGCAATGAGCAAATAAAGCCACTCTGTCACAGGCTAAGCGCCATTAGTGAGGTTGTGGGGCACAGAGAAGACACACCTAACCCAGACAGAAGGGTGGAGGAGGGAGGAAGGAGGACAGATTGGTTAGGGAAGGCTGCCTAGAACAATGGCCTATCAATGCTGGCCCTGGCCCTTGGGGTTGTGAAATCAATTTTGCAGATAGCAACCAGCACTTTAAAAAATTAAATAAAATAGAAAATATCATAGCATATCACATGTAGAAGAATACATGCATATGTCTGTATGTGTACTGAGCCATGATATAAGTCTTTCCTCACTGCCAGCCAGGGTCTAAAGGTTTGAGAGTCGTAATCCCAGAGAATTCTTGCCTGCCCGATCGGCGACATCTGACACATTGTAGGCACTCAAAGACGCTTTGATGAGTGGAGGGATGGATTTCAATCCTCTCAGCAATCTGGCAAGCAGGAACCACCCTCCCCAGTAAGAAAAGCATTCTTGAGAACCCAGACCTAGTAAACTCAGACTGGTCAGGCGTGCTTGCAGTTTGCAGCTTAGCAGTCCCGCGCTTTCCAGTCAGGCCGAAAGCAAGCTTCTCTGTCTGGGAAAGAAGCTCAGGCAGTTCCGAGAGGCTCCACGGGCAAGCAACCCTTCTTGGTGCCCCACCAAGGTGGCATGTGCTCAGGCCGCTGTGTTTACTCTGGGTTGGCCTCAGTCACCTGCCTTAGACCTGCATGGTCAGCACCCTTGTGCCTCCAGGATGCCAACAGGAAGTACTGTTTATGGGGACAGACCCGAATGCAGGAGAGAAAGGTCCTGGGGGAAACAGAAGATGGACAGAAGCCCGAATCAGTCCCTGGCAGGGTGAGTCAAGGGTAATGACTAGGTGGCACTCACAGAGACTTCCTTTTAGTGGTTTTCCAGGACACTCCAACCTTGATTTGTCCTATAATATCAGGACCAAAATACCCCTTGGCTGCCTTTCTCCTCCATCATAGACTCTTCAGGTTGGGAGGACCCTAGAAATTACCCACCCAAAGCCCTCATTTTACAAAAAAAGAGAAAGGGGTCCAGAGAGGGAAGGCATTGACCCAGGGTGAGACAGCAAGAAGCCTAAGAGCAGGTCGGGGTGGGGAATGGAGGGGGGCGGGGATGACCTCAAACCAGGTCTCAAACCCAGGGGTATGAGGTCCTTCAGATGTCCCTCTCTTGATATCTTGCCAGAAGGATCTCCTATCCAATTTTATCCCCTTTGTCCTCTTCTCTATATGTAACCACAGAAACCTTTCTAAAGGGTAAATCAGTTACTTCCTACCTGCCTGAAACCTTCCCTTGCTCCCCACTGCCCTTCAAATGCAAAGACACCCACAATCTTTCCTATTGTCCTCACCCTTCCCACATCTCAGGCTCCTTCCCTTGCTCTTTTTCCTGACACATTGCTGTCTCACCTCCAGGAGAGATGTGCCCCTAGAAGTGCAGGGTTCTCCCCCATCTCTCCTTTCACGGGCTGGCCCCTCTGCCTTTAACACTCTCCCCAAACCCTGCACTTGTCTGCTCGTATTTAGGTTGCACATTAGATCTTGCTTTTCTTGCAGGCCTCCTGGGTTAAGTATCCCTGCTAGCTTCTCTTGCCAGCAACTTGGTGGTGTTATGATCCATTTTACTGTCAGTTTCTCCTGCTCCCTGACAGAAGAGGCCATGCTGCAGCTATCACCTTCATGCAGAATTCAAAGCCATAGTAACTGTTCAGTAAGTATCTGTTGACCAGATAATCATCAATGTCTGTCCTTCTCCAAACTTCCTAAGAATGGCCTTCCCTTCCCATGATGCAATTTTAAGACTTAATTTTTTTAGAGCAATTTTGGGTTCACAATAAAATTGAGATGAAGTTGCAGAGATTTCCCATGTACCTCTTGTATCACACATGCAGTCTCCACCATAACCAACATCCCCCACCAGAGCTGTACATTTGTTACAACTGATGGACCTATGTTGGCAGATCACAAGTACCCAAAGTCCATAGTTTATATTAGGGTTCACTCTTGGTGTTGTACATTCTATGGGTTTGAATAAATATACTGTATAATGGCATGCATCCATCATTATAGTATTCAGAGTATTTTCAGTGTCCTAAAAATCCCTGTGCTCTGCCTGTTCATCCCCCTACATGCTTTTTAAAGTTTATCATTAAGCATAGCTTTTGCCCACAGGATTCTCGGAACACAAATTCTGATTTCCCAGCCACACCTTATTTTTACATGCCTCTGTGTCTTTGTACATGCTGTTCCCTCTGCCTGAAATATCCTTCCAAAATATTCCTGTTTATGAACTCCTTACTCATCTTTAAGACCCATCACTTCTGGCACCATTTTTTCCTGACTGACACCATCCACCACCTAGGCCAGGTGACTAGTTCTCCCTCCTCAACACCCTTTCCTCCAGGGCTTCCCCCGACCAGGGCCCATATCTCATTACATGGTGATTGTATGTTTCTGTGTCTATCTCCCCCACTAGACTGTGAATCTCCTTTGGACTAGGATGTCACCTCAGTGAGATAAGACCAGAATACAGTTCAAACCTAAAAACCTGGAAATGAATCAGTTGCACTATACCACAACTGAAGAACGATTATACCAACGCAGAATTCCCAAAATATGTCCATGGAACCCTAGTTCTATAAAAATGCTCCCAATTAATTTATACAGTGTGGTAGAGGGGACATTGTCTTTCTGTGTACATTTCTCTATGGGAAGAGGCTCCTCTCATCAACCAGGACAGGACTTCTGGTCTACCTGGCAGTTTCTTTCTCTTTATAGAACTGAGTTTCTTGATCTGGATCTTTAGAGAGACTATCAACCGCCTAAGAATACATGCAAAATACGTTTATATATGTGTGTGTGTAACATGTAGGCTTGTATGTGTGTGTGTGTATGTCTATGCATTTTTCTAGGAGGAGGTCCATAGCTGTTATTCCTAGTGAGTCTGACTCTAGACAAAAGAAAGGTTAGGAATCACTGTGTTAAAGGAAAATGCTCATGTTCTCACTTGTACAGGGTGTCCCAAAAATATATGCACACTTTAACAGCTGATGATTTCTATTAAATTTTGAAAACAAAATGTATTTTAATAAACACTGCCTTTATAATTATTCAAAGTGTGTATACATTTTATTTTTGGATACCCTCTATACTGGCTTCCTGCTGGCCTGGTCACTGTCAGTCAGTCCTCCTCAGTCTGATCAGTTAGTGTTCACTTACCAAATTGAGTTGTGGAACCTCCCAGGTCCTCCCCTGGCTGAGGGGCCACCGGTCCTCTTTGACCACATGGTATCACTCACATCTAGGCCTTTGCTGTGATGTCTCCTTTGGCTGGAAAAACTCTCCCTGTGCCTTATGATCAACTGTCAATTATTCTTTGGGTCTCAGCTTAGCTGTCACTTCCTTCTTGAGACCCTCTTCAAATTTCCAATTCTGGATTAGGTTCCCTTCTTTGTGCTCTCACAGAAGCATTCCCACCTCTCTGACCCCATCCCCTATCTAGGGCCATATTTTTCCCTTTCGTCGTGCTTATTCCATGATGTAGTCAATTGTTTGTAGGAATTGTCTGCTACCTGTCCAACTATAAACTCCATGAAGGAAGGGGTTTGGGTCTAGCTTTTCCATGTTTTGCTTCCCACACCAGGCACAGTGTCTAGCATACTGTGTCCATTAAATACTAGCTGAAGGGGACCATGCAAAAATAAGTACCTTAACCTGGCCGGTGTGGCTAAGTGATTGAGCACTGGACGTGTGAACAAGGAGGTGGCTGTTTGATTCCCAGGGAGGGCACATGCCCAGGTTATGGGCTTGATCCCCAGTGTGGGGTGTGCAGGAGGCAGCCAATCAATGATTCTCTCTCATCATTGATGCTTCTCTCTCTCTTCTTCCCTTTCCTCTCTGAAATAAATAAAAAATATATTTTTTAAAGTATCTTAAGCATTTCGGTGCTATGATTATGTGCTGTCACAGTTAGACCACTAATGTCCTTTCCCTCACTCTGTGACTGTATAGAATTGATAGTTTAAGATTTTCAATTAGTGAAACATTCAGATATCAGTGTTTGTCTTTTATCGGCAAAATTTTCTTTCTCATCCAATGCATGTGTGCACACACATGCACAAACCTGAGCGTGGAAGAGAGAAGAGAGAACATGTGCCACAGGGTGTCAGAATGAACATACCGGCATTTCGCAGAAAGCGGTTCTTATAGTCCCTGATGACCCTCGTTTTCGGGTTGTAGAAGCCATCTCCACAGTCATAATAGCCTGGAGGGATTTTTCTAGGAGGGTCCATATTGGAGAGTTGAGAGATACCTTGAAAGGATAAATAATGGATAATTAACTCGTCACCAAGGCCAAATTCAAGCCCAGCCTCTGCCAAAGTCCAGTTTGGGCCAGTTGCTCATGTGAATACTGGTAACACCGTTGGACTAAACACTCCCCATTGAGGGCCAGGAGCAAAAGCAGCAGGAGCAGTGCCCCAGAGCAGTGTCCCAGAAATGGCTCAATGAGGGGGTGTCTTAGGAACTGGACCCCCATCTCTTTTCTTTGACCCCATCTTCCATTTCTAGGGACTCCATGATAAGGAGACATTTCTGGAGTAGATGAGACCCTGAGGATGCCTCTGAGTTGGCCTTATGGATAGAAGGCATGTGAGGAGAGGAATGGCATTCAAGGTGCTGGCCCAGGCCAGAGCAGGTGCTTACACCTCACTCAGAAGCCCGTGGAGTCACGCACGTATAAGGAAGAACAGAAGGAAAGAAATGAGCCAGGTGGGCAGGGATAAGGTAATAGAGAACCTTGACTCTCACCCAAAATACCATCATAGCCGCCATTTATTGCTTATTATGTGCCAGGTATTTGACTATGCGCATGACTCCTACTTTTTCACTTCATTCTCACAACAATTCTGTGGCCCTGTTTTACAGGTAAGAAAACTGGGGCTCCAAGAGGTCAAGTGGCTTGCAAGGAAGGTTATCCAGCTAGGAAGCGGGTAGATACCCAGTTATGTAACCCGAATATTAAGTTTCTGCTATCAAGGGAGGAGAGGGTCTCGGCACCACTCCCAGGACTGGGGACACTAGAACCACCACGAGCTGGTGCATCTTTTAGGTCATGTTGTACATCTTGGAATATGGAGGCCTAAGCAAAGGGGACAGGGTTGGGATGAATAACTTCCTGGGTTTCATTTAATTTGTGGTTCTTGTAATTCCCTGTCTTCTGGCCCCATGCTCAGAGCGCAGGGTCCTGCACACTGTAGGCTCTCCTATGTTGGTTAATGGTGATCGCTAGGTACACCATTGACTAACAATTATTGAGCACACTCTCCACGCCGAGCACTTTCTAGCCATTCTCTCCCTGAAGCCTCTTGCACATGGCCATCTCCTAGATGCTCAGAGAGGTGAAGGGGCAGCCCGAACCCTCTTCCTGCCCTAACAATGCCTGCCCTGGCACTGAGGGGAGGCTGTTGGAGAGGTCTGCAGAGTGCTGAGTGACTTGGGAAGGAAGTGGGTGCTTAGGATCAAGCTGCTCTGCTGGGAGTCACAGGAGGAGAGGAAAGGGTGCAGGAAAGATCATCACACTGCCTTCAGGTCTGAAGAGGCCCAGCTTTGGCCAAACCAGCCGCTATGTGAGAGCTAGGGCCTGTGGCTGGAGAGCTCTTTGTCTCTGTTGGGGTGAAGAGCCCATCATCACTAACCCAGGAGGAGCCATTTATAAGTTTCTCAAGTGGCTCCAGGTCCTGGCTCTCCTGTGTTCTGTGCCCCTGCTCCTTTCCTCCTCTCCTTTGGGTTACTTCAATAGGCCACGCCCACTTATTAAAAACTGCCTTTCCTCTCCCTCTCAGTTCGGGAGTGAAGGAGCCTGGGTACCTGTAGGCTTCAAGCCGTGGCAGATCTCGGTGTAAAACCTCCGGTCATAGCCGTCACAGTAATGCCAGTTCTTTCCGTCATACTGCAATCCGTCGGAGAAGGTGTATGTGCCCTGGACGACAAGGAGCACACAGCTGGATCTGAGGAAGCCCTTCTTTAACCAAGAAGGACAGAGGCCAAGGGAAGAGGTGACTGCCTAACTGCCACAGAAAAGAAGTGATAACTTTTGCAGCTGATGATAAGAAATGGATGTACAGTGCTGAGCTTGGTGCCTGACACTCAGAATATGGCTAAATGTGACCTTGGGCAGATGACCTACCCTCTCTACCCCTTTGTTTCTTCCTTTGTACAATTAGGATAACAATAGTACATATTTAATAGGGTTGATTCCGTGAAATTCAAGGCAATAGTAGATGCAAAGCATTTAGCTCAGTGCCTAGCATGTAGTAAGCATCCAACAGATGTTTAAAGTTATTATAACTCTTTTATTGTTATCAAAACTCAAAAGGTCAGAGCCATCTGTCACAGTCCTTTGTTCAAACACATCCATTCTGCTTCTGCTGCCTTAGCGCTAAAGGAAGAAGCCCCAGGATGCAGACATCGCATTGGCCTGAGCATCAGGAAACACGGGTGGAAATTCCAATACTATTAACTCACTGTGTGACCTTGGGTAAGTCACATCCCCTTCCTGGGGCTTCGATTCTTTAAGCTATAAGACAACGGGTGTTTCTTAATCTTTTGTAGGTCATGAGCCAGCCTCACACACACCCTTGGTGAGTCTGATGAAAGGTATAGATCCTTTCCCCAGAGAAAAATATAGTCCCATACACACAAGACTTTTCTATATAAATCAGGAGCTTTCGCTGGCTCCCTGAATTCTATTTGTGACGACCCACAAATTCCAGGTTAAGAATCCTTGGATTAGATGACTTAACATGATAGCATCAGTGGTGGTGGCAGTAACAGCTAACACTTATTGAGTGCCTACTGTGTGCCAGATATTGAGCTAAGCACTCACATATATTATACTTCATTTACTCTCATAGCCATCCCAGGAAGTGCCTGATACTATTGTAGCAGGCTGAATAATGGTCCTCAAAAATATTCACATTTGATCTCTGGAACCAGTGACTATGCGGACTGTACGTGGGAAAGGGGACTTTGCAAATGTGCTTAAATTAAAGATCTTGAAGTGTCAAGATTATCCTGGATTATCTGGGGAGGAGGGGGGCAATGTAATCAGTATCCTTATAAGAGGGAGGCAAGAGAGTCCGAGTGACAGAAGATGAGGTGATGACAAAAGCAGAGGGAAAGGTGATGTAATGATGGAAGCAGAGGTCAGAGTGATGGGTGGCCATGAGCCAAGGAATGTAGGCAGCTTTTAGAAGCTGGAGAAGGTAAGAAAATGGATCCTCCCACAGAACCTTCAGAAGGAATGCCGTACTGCTCACCTGTTTCAGACTTCTAACTCCAGAACTATAAGATACATGTTTCTGTTGTTTTAAGGCACTGACTTTGTAGTGATTTGTAACAGCAGCAATAGAAAATTAATAAAACTCATCCTCAATTTATTAGATAAGGAGCATGAGCCTTAAAGGGGAAGTCATGGGCTCAAGGTCACACAGTTAGTGGCTTAACAGGATTCAAACTCATCATGGCCTAACTCATCAGGGCTTCTCCAGGGGCCCTTCTGGATCCAGAGGGAGAAGACCCCAGATCCCTGGATGTCAAGAGGAGGCACCGAATAGGGAAAGCAGGGTGTTGTGTGTATGTGTGCATGTGTACATGTGTGCGTGCGTGTGCGTGTGCGTGTGTGTGTGTGTGTGTGTGTGTGTGTTGGGAGTCCTGTCTGAGGCTTTCTCCTCTGCAGTCCCCCTCCCAGGCTAATCACCTTAACAGCCAAACCCTTCTCCCAAATGGCATCGTATCGGCTCCCATTGGGGAAGTACAGGGTTCCTTCGCCGTGAAACATGCCGTCCTTCATTTCCCCAACGTATCTTGTTTCAGTAGGGAGGATGTATTCGGCATTACCCTCCATCCTGTAAGGACAAAGGAAATCACTGAGCCCTGCGTCGCAGGGGGAGGATCTGAGCCAGCAGGCACAGGAGAGCAAGGAGGAACCTAACTCCGGGTCCTCAGATGTTATCATCCCAGCAATATTCTGCTTAAAACCAAAAGTTTTGTGTTGTTTCCCTCAGAAGCTCAAAAATAAGAAAAGCTGATGGAGGGAGGCAGAATGTGATCTGTCCCTCCTCTTCCTCACAGAGAGGCTGTCCTGAAATACCCATCATTCCTGGGAACATCCCTGGATAGGCTCAGAGCGGGGAGGGGTTTGCTCTAGCTACACAGTAAGCACTGTGAAGCAGAGACGTGAGCCAAGTTTCCTGGTGACTGGCTCTGTGTCTTTCCTGCTAAGACCAGCCCAACCCTACCCATCACACCACAAGTGGGATATTTGGAAAAGTATACAATTTGGACAGGTTACCTGGGTCTGCTTAAGAAATATGCTTTCATTCATTCCTTTACTCATTCTCCATTCTTCTTCACTAGCTGGAAGTCACTGCTCCTAACTCTGAACTTCTTTTAGGCTTTTGTTTGTACTTCTGTTGGACGCTTGCCTAGTAATTGTATATTTCATCTCTCCTATTTAATCAAAGCATCTAGGAGGAAGGCCTCGGTATCCTCAACTCTTAGAATCATGTTTCTTCTTAAACAGATGCTCTATAAACATCTACTGAGTAAGAAATGAAGGAAACAGAACGGTCAGTGAGATGACTGAACGGAAGACAGATGCCACTGAGCTCCAGTCCCAAAGTGTGAAAGCACTGGTTAAAGCACAGTTTCTGAGCCATGCAGACCTGGAGTCCAAGCCTGGCTCCCCCTCTCTGTGCCTGCGTGACCCTGGGAAAGCTCCTTCACCTCTCTGAGACAGTTTCTCATCTGAAGAATGGGGATAATGACAACAACCCCCTAAAGGTGTTGGGTAATTAAATGATGGCTACACACTGTAGCAGAATGCCTGGCATATACAAAGGGTTCAAAAACTATTTTGTCTTTATTCTACCTAAAGTCTTCCTTTTTCTTCTACCTCTTTGCTTGAGATTACATAATTTCTTTCTTTTAAAAAAATATATTTTATTGATTTCCTTATAGAGAGGAAGGGAGAGGGATAGAGAGTTAGAAACATTAATCAGTTGCCTCCTTCACACTCCCCACTGGGGATGTGCCCGCAACCAAGGTACATGCCCTTGACCGGAATCGAACCTGGGACCTTTCAGTCTGTAGGCCGACGCTCTATCCACTGAGCCAAACCAGTTTCGGTCATAATTTCTTTCTTTATTTTTGAAGTTTACATTTCCTTTAATTCTTGCTCTTGTACTTGGCTTGTGATCAGGAAACATAAGTTAATAAACATGTATCCTTTTCTCTCTTTTTTTGTTTAATCCCATCACATCATTTCTAAGCTTAGTTTCCATCTAATTCTTCCCTGAGATTATATATCCCCTTTTTATTACTGCACGTTGGACATCATTGTCTTTCTATAAACCTTCAACAGACATCTCCAGCTTACCCAAAATGGAACTCACCCTCTTCTCTTCCAAAGCAGCCCCTCCTCAGAGTTCTCACTTTTTGTGAAATGTTATCAGAATTCCCTAGGTTCAAAACTTGGAGCTCTGGGCACTGGGCTGGGACTGGAAGCATTCTCTGAGTAGGACCAGGAGCCAATCAGCTGCCAAGCCCTGGCAATGAAATCCCCAACCTGTTACATGTTTCTATTTCCTGCAGACCCACTGCCTCTGCCTTGGCCCAAGTGTATATGGAATGAATGTATCTCAGTTTTGACGCTTGAGCAAGTTGCTTCTCTTCTCTGGGTCTCATTTTTACTGAACTGTAGGGAATAAACAATCCTACCTGACATAGTGGTTCTGAAGGTTAAAAGAGATAAAGTTTGTGGAAGTGTCTGCTACAGGGTCCCTTTAAAAGGCACAGATGTCCAAGACATTATGAATCAAATGAGGCCCTTACCTCCCATCTACAAATGCTCCAATATATTGGCTCCCCGTGTACTGCATGGCGCCTGCCTGCCTGCTTAGAGTTTCCAGGCCGAGTCTCAGTGTACACCGCCTCACTATGACAACCAGGAGGGGTGGGCGGAGCCAACGCGCACGCTCAACTTCCTGCATTGCGCACGCTCCCTGGCTCGCAGACGCGCGGAGCAGTGCGCACGCGCGCCGCCAGCTGCGCATGCGCAGGCGCAGGTGGCCCTTGGCGGTCGAAAGGGGAGTTCAAGGAGACGGGGGCGACGCGGCTGCGGCTGCCTCGTCCGGGTCGGGGTTACCGACATCATGCCGGGGATAGTGGAGCTTCCCACTCTGGAGGACCTGAAAGTGGAGGAGGTGAGACTTGTCCGGGAGGCAGGCAAGCGGGGCATATGGCTGAAGTTTCCCGGCCCTGGGCCCAGCCCTGCTTTAATTCAGCGGACCCTGGGCCCAGGTTCCCTTACCCCTGACCCCCCAACACTAACCGGTCAACCCCCCGAACGCCCTTCCTCGGCTCCGGGAGTCGCCACTCCAGCCCGCTGTGGCTCGAGAACTCTCCCCCCTCCCCCACAGCGACCTGCTTCCTTACTGTGAGTTACAGTGGGTCCATTTTATTAAGCACCAACCAGGGGCACTTCACTTACTTTATGTCACTTAATACCCAGACCTCCCTGCGAAGTAAGTAAGCAGCCCGGGCTGCTCACAGTCAAGGGAAAGAGAGAGGCACCTTAAAGTAGCATCCTCGGTGCAGAGTGCATTAGAATGGAGGTAGAAACCCGCAGAAAAAGGAGATGATGGTATTGGAGAGTGAAGTTGCAAGCAGCAATAGGACATTGAAAGCACTCAGTTATTCAAGAGGTACTATTTGAATAATTACCGAATGAACATACACTGGGAAATAACAGGTAATGTCCCTGCCCTCATAGAGTTTATAATTTAATAAGGAGAGAGATGTACGAGGAGCCAACTTCAACAAGTGGTTAGAGCTATGCGAAGTGAAGACAGTATAATACTAATTATAGCACCTCTGAGCAAGCCTTTTCCAGATGCCACGTGGGATTTCCGTGCATCCTTCCAGCAACGCCGAGGAAGGATGTAATTGGTCTCGCCATGTTGTAAGTTAGGAACAGGTCATGAGAGAGGACATGATTTGCCCAAGGTCACATGGCTGGTAAGTGGATGAGCTGGAATAGGAATCCAGCTCTGATTTTAAAAGCCATGCTTTTAAATGACTATTTTGGGCAGACCCTTTTCTATTTAGGAAGACAAGTGCTATTTGACATGTCTCTAGTGTTGGTGGGAAGCAGCAGTCGCTGAGCCGGAAGAGATACCTGGGTTGAGGCGGGACTGGGAAGCAACTTCCACAAGGCCAGACTAAGAATCTTGGACCTTATCCTATAAGTGAGGCAATGGGGAGAGGTGGGAGGTTTAAGGCATAGGACTGGCAGGATCCGGTAGAAAAAACGATCAGGCCACATTGAAGGAGAGAGCAGCAAGACTAAAATTAATGTGCCAGAAATTATATCCCAGGCGCTGTATTAAGTGGTTTACCTGCATTACTCCACTTAATCTTATATGGCTGTGATATGGCAACTATTATTTTTCTCAGATGGAGAAATTTTTAGTTGTGTTGAGGGTCGTCATCAAGTGAAATTTGCTATACGGTGGGGAGTGGGGGGGTGGTGGTTTCATCAAGTGAAATTTGCTAAGGGGGTGGGGCCAGTGGGGGGTGTTGCTGCCAATAGTCAATCTTCTGTTTCTTGCCCCATGGCGGCGAAGCTGGTTTACAACTTGCTGTGTTTTTCGGAACTTTAATTTGGTACAACAAACAACAGATTTCACTTTCTGCAAGTATCCTATATCTGGAATAAATTTGCCTTTAGGCTTCACACAGTTAAATTGAGAAGCAGGTAATCACATAAATAACTAAAATACAAGACAGAATAATTAAATGCTATGGGAGAGGGGCAGGCATGGTTTAAGCAAAGAGTATGATTTGCAGTTGTAGCTAAATTCTAGGCCTAACTGCTCAGTTACCTTGATTAGTCACTTTTAGCATTTGCGGACACCGTTATTTTATTTGTAAGGTGAAGTGATTCCAGCTGTGTAATTAATTTCCCGAGGCTATAAAGAGAACAGAGAAAACACTTCTTGGGCATAACGTAAGAATTACAAGCAGAGATGGAGTGAAGAGCTTTCTAAGCGAGGGTAGGATCTGAGCGAAGGTAAGGAGATGGGAGAAGGCAGCGGACCAAAAATGGGTGCTGGGACCAGGGAGTTCAGTGTTCTGAGAGAACAAGAAGCTCCCTTTTGAAGTGTCATGGGTGGAGGGCTTGAAAGGTGACTTGGATTCCCTAGGCTTTGAGAACCCCATAGGAAGTTCAGGCTTTTTGCTTCAGTTAAATCCGAATCCTTCCAGGGTTTTGTTGTTAATTTGTTTCAGTGGCAGAGTAAACTAAGAGTTGTCTTTTAGAAAATCTAATGCTCTCCTGAATTTGAGAGGACACGAGAAAGAGGAAGGCTAGTCTTGGTGACTAGTTATGTTGACCCCAATATAATTGGTGACTGTGCTTACAGAGAGGAAAGAACAAATTTGTCTAGAATTGATCAAACTTAGCCAAAACTTAAGGTATCAGAAGCAGGAAAAGTTGAGGAATCAGTGTCAGATTTGCAACCTGACATTGGGACCGAGAAAGCCAAAGAAGGATGAGGTTGAGAGGCAAGTTAAACACATTTCGGAACTCACTGACTTTGGAGTTACAGTACATCCTATGGAGAAGGTAGTCAGAAGCTTGAGCTGGAAGATCCTTGTACACATTGACAATTTTCAGTGAAAAATACAAGCTAATACGATGTGCTATCTATGCACTGTTCCCAATATATTAATCATGACAGTTCTATCAAATAGGTACTATTATCCTTCATTTTACAGAAATTAAGTAAAATGTAAGTCAGTATAAATTAAGTACTATAAAAAGAGGTGCTGCCCTGGTTTAAGGAAGAGAGAACAGGACTGGAAGATTGGGTGTAGATTGTAAGACTTTTTCTGCCTCTTTTCCACACCTGCAGACGAATATAAACCTGTGCAGTGAGGATGTTGTGAGGATAAATGAGGAAGGAGGTTGAGGTTCTGTGTTCTTTGAGACAAAGGGAGCTGAATGGATTTGAGAGGGTATTCACGGTGAGCAGCTGTGAAAGGAGGTTGTTTCTATTAGAATTCGTCAGTCTCAGTGAAGAAGCAGGTGGAGGAGATGATGACATTCGAAGTTCTGGGCCACCTCAGTGATAGCGATGTCATGGAAGAGGCCTGGTTGGAGGTCATTCTCTGGATTCTAGTTTTGTGTTTGCCACTGACCTGCTATGTCAGCTTGAGCACATCTGTTTTTCCTCAGAGTCATTGTGTGGTTCTCTTTATTTCCCTGTGATAGCAGATGTTACATGCTCACAACATGGGTGTATCTAGATTTTGGTAGGACCTCGACTTTTATAGGAAAGTAAAACAAAGAATTTCATTGTCCTTTGGGGCATGATAGCTAAGAAGGCATTTGAGTTATTAAATCAGCCATTTAAAGATTTTTAAAAATATATATTTTATTGATTTTTTACAGAGAGGTAGGGAGAGGGATAGAGAGTTAGAAACTTCGATGAGAAAGAAATATCCATCAGCTGCCTGCTGTACACCTACTTCTGGGGGTGTGTCCGCAAACAAGGTACATGCCCTTGACCGGATTCGAACCTGGGACCTTTCAGTCATGGGTGACACTCTATCCATTGAGCCAAACCGGTTAGGGCCATTTAAAGATATTTTAGTACATTTGACAAAGAAATAAATATAGCTAACTTAATTTTTAAAATATATTAAGCTTTAAAAAAAAAGTTTGCATCTTGATTTTTATTTTTCCAGTTCTTTATAGGTAATATAGCAAAACAAGTGTGTACCACTTTTAATACAAAATTTTTTTTATTAATACAAATTTTTATAGATTTTTAAATTTATTAGCATTGCCATGGCAATTTTCACTTATACTGTATCATAAGTAATTGCTTTGATAATTGTAACAATTGTAATATTAATAGGCATGGTCATAACTTTATTTTCCTCTTCCTGTAGTATATAGATGAATTATTCTCTTCATCTTTCTTTGCTTTTTAGCTTAGTAATAATTAAAGCTAAGCTGGATGAAATTCATAAAATAAAATTACATAATTTTATTATAGAAATAATAATTATAAATTTTTCACATAAAACTCAGTGGTATCATAAAACATAATACACTGTGACATTCTAGATTTTATTCTAGATACAATGGGTCAGTTTTAGAAAATTATTAATGTTCTACCTTACATTTATAGATTAATGAAAAGGAAACCTGAACATTTCAGTCTTTCCTGGTGGAGAAAATAACAGTACAACTAAACCAATTAGGATTAGAAAGAAGCGCTCTTAATGAGGAAAATCTAAACAGTATCCCAGATACGAGCAGCAAATGTCATTCCAAACTTTGAAGTTAAGAAAAAAAGCATGGATGCTGCCGGCATCGCTGTTCATCTGTGCTGTCCTGGAGGTTTGGGTCCAAGCAATAAGATGGGAAAGAGAACAAGAAAGAAAGGGTAGCCGAAACCGGTTTGGCTCAATGGATAGAGCGTCGGCCTGGGGACTGAAGGGTCCCGGGTTCGATTCCGGGCAAGGGCATGTACCTTGGTTGCGGGCATATCCCCAGTAGGGAGTGTGCAAGAGGCAGCTGATCGAAGACTCTCTCATCGATGTTTCTAACTCTCTATCTCTCTCCCTTCCTCTCTGTACAAAATCAATAAAATATATTAAAAAAAAGAAGAAGAAAGAAAGGGTAAATATCAGAAAAGAGAGGAAGCAGTTTCTATTTGTAAATAGAAATTTTTTTCATTAATTCTCTTGAGTTTTGCATCAGAATGTACAAGAATTCAGTAAGGTATAGCTAGAGAGAAGAGGCAATGTACAAATAAGCATGGACCAATTTGAAAATCTAATAGAAAAAATATCCTTGGTTATTCCTCAGTTAAAGTACTGAGGAATAAACAAGGAATGTGCAGGGTTCGTATATGAAGGAAACTAATTTTAGCCAAAGGACACAAGAATGACCTGAATAAATGTAGTGACATACTGCATTCTGGATGAGAAGGCATAATTCATGTATTCTTACCTTATTTGTAACTATCATATCCCCAGTACCTGGCCCAGAAGTGAATATTCAACAGTTACTTCTGCTAGATACTATTTTGGGTGCTTGGTGAACCAAAGTAAATGTTACAATTTCACTATAGTTTGACATCTTTTTGGAATCTGTGTTGAAAAATCCATATCCTCTTGGACCTTACATTCTAGCAGTCACACACAGGGTGACCGCTGATGCAAGTTTACATAGGATGATTAGAGGTGGAAAATTAGAACAGAGACTCAATAATGTAAAAATGCTCTTTTAATTTAATATATAACTAAATATAATGCAGTTCCATTGCTTTTTTTTTTTTTTTTATTTATTTTTTTTTTTTTGTGGAGGCCGGTGTTTGTTTGGAAGAATAGCAAAGACGATTTTGAGAAGGAGGAATAATGGGAAGGATAGTCTTCCCAGACAACAAAGTGTTCTAATAAGTTACAATAATTAAAACATTGTGGTACTGGCCCAAGAAAAGGTACAGAAGGCCAGCAAGGCCGTGGCTGCAGCAGCTCAGCTGGTAGATAGGTCAGTTGCTGCGCAGTTCCTCAGAGCCACTGTAGCTGCCCTGGTGCCTCAAAACAATGCTCTGGAATCAAGTGAGACTGACCTAGTTTTAGGGATGCTACCTGGGATATACTCTATAATTTTTTAAATTCACATTTTTTAATACTTTATCATTAGTAATAACTTGCTGGATGACATGATTGTACTGATGCTTTCTAGTCTCTCATCTTCTGTGATTCTGCAATCTTCTGGGAATTTTAGATATCTTCCTACTATTAGATATATTCTACTAGTTTAGTACCTGTATTAGGTAGGTATTAGATAATATTCTTGTGTACTCTGATATTCTTTCACTTCTGATCCTGGAGAAGAGACTCATGAAAGCTCCCCAGGGTTGATTTCTCTCATTATGCCCCAAAAGCCTCCATGTTTCAGAGCTCCCTTCTTTGCCATACAGACTAAGGATTCTGTTAGGGCTGCCATTTCCATGTCTCAATGGGGATAGGAACATCAACCTAAAGAGATGGTCATGAAGTGTATAAAGCCATGGATGTGAAAGAGCTTTGTGATCTCCAAAGCAATGTAAGTCACCAAGGCTCACTAGGACAGTCCCCTTGTCTTTACTTTTTTTTTTTTTTGGCAAAGTTGTAACAGCTATCTTTGTGTCCCCTCTGATCTGAAGACTGAGGTGAAGTTGAGAAGCCATGTCCCAGTCACAGATCTGTGGTCTTTCTCCCATTGCTCCTTTCCCCAGGTGAAAGTCAGTTCAGCTGTTCTTAAAGCTGCGGCCCATCACTATGGCGCTCAGTGCGACAAACCCAACAAGGAGTTCATGCTGTGCCGCTGGGAAGAGAAAGACCCGCGGCGGTGTTTAGAGGAAGGCAAGCTTGTCAACAAGTGTGCTCTGGAGTTCTTCAGGTAAACGTCTTTCACATCAGTGCCTATTTGATTGAACCATCCAGGTATATGTATCTCGGTGAACATCAGCTCATTAAAGGGAAGGATCATTTTTGTGACTAATGTTAGTAGGCAGAGCAAGTCTTTGAAATCAGAGAGACCAAAGTAAGCACACAATAACTGTTAGTTTTGTTATTTGTTTTTTGGAAGATTTTAATCTTCATGAATCTCAATTTAAAAATTATAGAATAATACCTATCTTATACAGAATTGTTAAGAAAAATTTGAAAAGGCACATAAGAACAACTCAGCTCAGTGCTCACTAGCAGGCATCCCTAGTTTGTTATCATGGCCATTACTATAGAACACACAGAGTGGAAAGAAAAGTGTGTTCAGAGTCAAGTTTTGGGTAGGCCACTGTGCTTGATACTATAAGTAAAAAATTCAGATTGTAGTTGTAGAAAAAATGTTTTACAGCCATATTAATCAGATCTCTACTAAAAGGGACTGGAATTTAATGCCAAGGGATTTGACTCATGCAACTGTTAAATCCAGAAATAGGACTGGCATTGGGCAGGGCTGGATCCAAGGCCTTAAATAATTTCAGAACAACGTGATGTTTTTTCCTCTCCTCCCCCGATCTCTTAGTTCTGCTTTGCTCTGCCAAACTCATTTTCAAAGAGACTCTTTCCTTGCTATAGCAAAAATGGGCACCAGCTATTCCAAGCCGCTATGCCACTTGCTTAGCAGATGTAGACACAGAATGCCAACTTTCCAGTAATATGAGCAGACCAGTAATATGGACTGAGTCTGATTGGCCTGGCTGGTTGACTCCTATGCCTATCTTTGAATTAGTTGTGTTGTAGGAGATAAAATGCTATGGTTGGTCTGGCCTGAAGTGGGAGTAGACTTAGCTTCATCTAAACCACATTGCTGAGAGATAGGAAGGGGTTGTTTCCCAAAGGAAAATTAGAAGAATGTTACAGAAGAATGGGGAATGACTGCTGGCGAGGCAAAACCCACAGATGTCTGCTAAAATGATGTTAAAGAAAAAAATCTAATTTTGTCACATAATAGCTGGTTTTCTTTTTTTGTTTCTGCTGTCTTTGTCCACATGCAAAGATATTTTTGTGGTTAAAATAACGTGTCTACATTTTAAAATTGATTTTTCACTTGAAACTGTTGGGAATGTTCTTTCAAGTTATATTTTCTTCATGGTCATCATTTTTACTGACTATATAATATTCTATTGGTGGATGAACCAACCATAATGTACTTGACCAGTTCCTGTTATTAAACATCATTGTTGTTCCAGCTTTGATTGTTTTGAACAAATGTGCAGTGATTACCTTTGTGAGTAGGTCTTTTTCATTTTTAAATTTGTTCCTTGACATAAATTTTCCAGCGGTGGAATTATTTTATAAAAGGCTTTAAACATTTTTACATCCTCAGCACTGTATCTAGATATACCTCACCAGCATTACATGCTGTTTAAATATTTGGTAGGTACAGCCGAAACCGGTTTGGCTCAATGGATAGAGCGTCGGCTTGGGGACTGAAAGGTCCCGAGTTCGATTCCGGTCAAGGGCATGTACCTTGGTTGCGGGCACATCTCCGGTAGGGGGTGTGCAGGAGGCAGCTGATCGATGAGACTCTCTCATCGATGTTTCTAACTCTCTGTCTCTCTCCCTTCCTCTCTGTACAAAATCAATAAAATATATTAAAAAATAAATAAATATTTGGTAGGTACAAAATGGTATTCTTGCTTGAATTTGCACTGATTTGATTTCTAACATTGCTTATTTTTTAAATTAAAAAAAAATTTTTTTATTAAGAGTTTATATAAGCCAAAACTGATGACATTGCCAGGAAATAAGATCTCAAATGCTCCTAGGGTTTTTATTTTCTTTATTATTTTTTAAAAATATATATATTTACTGATTTTTTTACAGAGAGGGATAGAGAGTTAGAAACATCAATGAGAGAGAAACATCGATCAGCTGCCTCCTGCACACCCCCTACTGGGGATATACCCGCAACCAAGGTACATGCCCTTGACCAGAATCGAACCTGTGACCTACAGAGCCTGCAGGCCGACACTCTATCCATTGAATCAAACCAATTAGGGCCAGATTTTTTATTTTCTGAGAGAACGTTGGAAAGCATTTCTCTTTTGGCCCAGAGTTAGTACATTGAAGTGGGAAATATTTGTGTGTTTTTGTTTTTCTTTTTGAAGAGGGAAATATTTGGATTCACGAGTTCCTGAGCTGTCTAATTGCCTCCAGGAGAGGAAGTTCTCACTGGTGAAGTTGCTTGTTATAAGTATTGGTAGATGACTGTTGGGTAGGGTGCCAGGGCCCAGAGCAGAAACTAAGTACCAGAGTAGTGGGTTTCAGACCTTCTTCTACAAAACTCCCATTGGAAACAGTAGCTCACTGACAGTGATTCGCAGTATCACTTGTGAATCACTTTTGTGCACCATGGAAATCCAGCCAGGTGAGGCTACAGGAAAATCAGAAGTTAACTAGGGCTTTCATAGTCCTTCTTTCTTCCTGTTGCACACTCCATCACCCCCAAGGTTATACTTGTACTCAGAATAGCTGGAAAGGGTATGTAGGAAACCGATGCCAGTGGAACCAAGCAGAAATACAAAGCAGATTTTTCTGTTTCTGTAGACCATCTCTGAGGCTCTTTCTGAGCCCTGATAAATAAGATTCCTATGTTGAGTGTAGAATATGTTGAGTCTTGAATATGACAAGCAAGTGTTCAAAATTATTCTTTTTTGTACAGGCGATGTTCTGCATTTCTTTTTTT